CTGGGTGGTGGTCTCTTCAGTCAGTCCTTGGAGCCTTTGGGGTACTGATGAGGACCAGATCCAGGCATGGGCAGCTCAGGGTTGGGGAGAGGGGAGTCCAGGAGTTCATAAACTACCTTATGGGATTGTCTTGTGAAGCTCTGCCTTTTTATAAACTGCCAGGTACTTAATCCCCTTTCTGTCTTGTGCACATAGCCCTGTCCTGAGCCCCTGCTCATGCAGGGCTTGTGAATGGGTCATATTACACCCTCCTCAAACTGCAGTATCCTTTGGTGCAACCAATCCAATGCATCTTTAGGATTCTCTTCCAAACCCTAGCTCAGTGCTGGCCACATGGGGCTGTGTGTTCATACAAACCATGATCCAGGACCAGCAGGCAAGTGGAGGCACCACTTGTGCCTCCACACACACCCTGGGGAGGCATTCCTGCCCGAGGCTGTGACACCAGTGCCCAGACCTGACCTGTTAGGAGGCAGGGAGCCCAGGTCATCCCTGATGGGATGAGCGCTCACACTGTTTTCCTGCACAACCTTTGACTGGGAGCTGGAACAGGAAGGGTTGGCCCTCTTAGAGGATCGGGATTCTCTAGAGATTGGTAAGGACAGCATTATCAGGCAGGAATTAGAGCTGTGCCATCTAGCAAGCACACTCATGTGTTATGTTACGCGTCAGGCATGGCTGTGAGGCTGTCAGTGTCATCACCAGTGATAGACCTGAAACCTGTGATTCAGAAAATGAAATCAGTTCCCAATGTCTCACAACCCGAAAGAGGCAGAGCCAGAATCTGAACCTGGGACTGGCCGCAAATGTAAACCCATGCTCTTAACCAATGTGAAACAGGCATGGAGAGTCAGAATCAGCAACTTATCCTGAGCTTTGTGATGAAAATAATCAACTTTGTTTTCGAGCATTTTATAGAAGACAAGGTCACTTGTTCTTTTGATGGGGTGGATCATGGAGGCTGAGAGGCTGTTAAAACAAAGAGAAAAAAAGACTGAGAAGAGGGAGTCCTTCGAGGACTCTTGGGCAGCCCCAGGGAGCACTTACACTCTGGTTCCCCACTTCTCTTGTGTGTTTCTCCTTCTGTGACTGAGTTTCTATAATTTCATTGTCGTGTCTACATAAGTTTATAGTGTGTTTGCTGCCTTTCTCTTCAATTGGACTTTTTCAGAAATAACTGGAATCCTAAATGCTTTCACAATGCACAGTCTCAGGGATGTGAACATAAGTCAGTCTTCTAAGGACAAGTGAGTGGCTTTCCGCTGCTGGGAGGTGCCCACACTGCGGGCTGGCACTCCAGGGTCAGAAGTTGGCCCCTTGTGGGAAGCAAGGCATTCTTAGGAAGAGTCCTCAAGGTTCTGTGCCTCCCACCAGACAACCAAGCAGAAGGAACATTCGTTCACCCAATGAGGTCTCACGTTTGCCGATGTGGAACCCAGGTCAAATCTTTAAAGACTTTGCTAATTGAAAATACAATCGAAGCCAGCAAGGCGGCACCCCAGGTAGCGGCGGAAGGGCACAGTGCAGATTTGGGGGCATCCTGGCTTAAATGGCAGCCTTAAAGCTCACCCCAGCAAGAGTCACAGACCAGGAAACCCACCTGGGCAGCTTCAGGGTCCTGCCCAAGGGCAGTCAGCCGGCCATGCAGAGGGGCATGTTGTACCTCCAAGCTGTCTTCTCTCTGCTGCTAATTGTCTGGTTCAACTGTCCACCTGCTTGAACACAGGAGCACTTGACCCCACACACCCTCTGAACTATGACTGGACAGGATGATCATCTGAGATGTTTTCAGATGCACACCCAGGGGCATTGTGTTAGCCTCGGCTTGAATGTATGTCTTCAACACACTCCTCTTCCACTTCCCTTCCCTTCTTAAAAAAATCCAGTCCTAAAGCCTTAAGGTTCAAAGCAAGGTGGGCATCTGCAGTGGGTGGCGAGGGAGAAGGGGGTTGGCAGGACACAGAGGACCGAGGCCAGGGAGTCAGAGCCAGACAGAGTGAGAAGGGCATCTCAGGGGAGGGGCAGCAGCATTGGGGGATTGTTTCCATAAAAGGAGATGGGTCAAACAAGGAAATAGATCAAGACTGATAGAATCCAGGTGCCTCACTGTTGGAGGAAGGCGTTACAAGTAGAATGAACTTGTCCCATTAGAATTGAAAGAATTAGGGAACTCAAAGATCCAGATAGATAGTAGAGAGATGATAGATAGATAGATAGATAGATAGATAGATAGATAGATAGATAGATAGATAGATAATAGGTAATAGATGACAGATGAAACTATCTGTGTACGTGTGTGGGTGTACACACACACACACACGTCCCCTACCTCTATTTACTGAGTCTAAGGGCAATGACATTAGCAATAATCATATTTTGGCTTCTAAACACCACTGTCCACTATTTAAAAAAAAAACAGGAGAAATGGCTGAATCCAGGGCTGAGGCAGAAGATGAACTTGGACCACCTTCTTGTGCTGGAAAGCAAGAATGTGCTCTAAAAACCAATGCAAATATTAACTAGTATATATAAAATAGATTAAAAACACAAATTTCTTCTGTATAGCACAGGGAACTATAATGGAAAAGAACATGAAAATGAATATATATGTATTATATGTATGACTGAAACATTACACTGAATGCCAGAAACGGACACATTGTAACTGACTAGACTAATAAAAAAAATGCAGGCTGTCACATGAGCTTGAATGAGCCCCGCTGACCAAATTAAGTAGTATCTGAGCATCAAAATAATCACACTAATGAATTATAACCCATTGGATAAAATAGAAGCCGGGAATCCATCATGATAATAATGTAGCAGGGTTTGGTGAGGAATGGGATATGGGTGTGGGTTCAGAGTTCCTCCCCATAAAATGCGTATTAATTATGGAGGGGAAGTGAGCAGCTGTGCAGAGGGGAGCCTGGCAGATGGCCCTGAGGGAGACCGGGTCACCACCAGGACACCCAGTGGGATGCCACGAGAAGGATGCAGCGGAACCCAGTCTGCTCTGATTGTGAGCAAACACAAACCTGGACTGTAGACATTCGAGACGGAACCAGGCCTGCAGCCTTCAAAACCTCCCAGGTCGCGAATGTCAAGTATGCCGACGAATGTTCCAGACAGAGGGAGGGTAAGGGACAGCACGGCCCGATGCAACATGTCACCTGGCATTAGAGCCTCTGTTCAGAGGCCCTGCTGGAACAGCAGGCAGATGGTGACTGGGGTCTGTCCTGGGGACCAGACCCGGTCCCAGTGAGGATCCTGTTGTGATTCCAGAGGCGAACGCCCCGTTCACAGGAAATGCACGCTGACTCCACCAGGGGGATGGGATTTCAGGTGGGCAATTTGCTTTCAAGTGGTTCAGGGAAAAAAGTTATACTTTATGTGCAACTGTTTTGTGAGCTTTTGGGTGCTGCCAAATTTTTTAAGGTACTAAAATAAGATATATTAAGGCACTAGAAAAGTGAACAAGAAAAAACTTGTGCAATCACAAGTAGGTACAATCACAACAAAATCCCCAGGTGACTGCCACGTGTTCCCAAGGATTCACAGCCTTCGTTCAAGAAGCAATTGTAGCAGGTGGCTGCAGGCTGTGTATGCAGCACTGTTTGTCCAGGCCATCCCACCCCAGGGTTCTCAAGAGGGGCCATACTTGCTGGCTCTGATCCCCACCTGCTCCAATCCTCACAGATCCCCTTCGGTTAATTCTGGGGGCCCTGGATCAACGCAAAAAAAAAAGCATAACGTAAAAATTGAGAATTATGTTTTGTTCAGCAGACATTCTGAGGACTTAAGCCCTAGAGGCAGCCTCTCAGATTGCTCTAAGGGACTGCTCCAAAGAGGTGGGGAGGAGCCAGTATATATATATATATATCTATAGGAGTTTTTGCTTCAAAGACCAGGTAGTCAGAACATCAAAAGATGATTGTTAATTAGAGAAAACCAGATATCTCAAGTTAAGGAATTTAGTGCTTTTCTATATATGAGAAGATGTGAAAGTCTGGGCTCATGGAGATCATTCCTTTGCTATGCACCTAGCTGTCGAGGGCCAGTGTCCTGTTCTTTCCCACCCCAAGTTCCCTCAGGAGGCACTGCTGTGGGTGGCTGCAGTGGCTGATGGCTTGGTGGCTGCAGCGTCCTTGGTTTACTGATACGGTGGGAATATATTTCATTCACAGCCCCCATTCGAGTGCCCAAGAGGCAAACCTGGCTGGCACCAGAGATGCCACAGAGGTCCCACTGAGCTGGGGACAGGGGCTCTCCCCTCTTCCATGTTTCTTCTTTTGGGGGTAACCTGGTTGTTGAGAGACTTCAAGGCTACAGTCCTCTGTCCAGATTCTACTGTTCCAAGTGGAAGCAATTCTTAGACCTGCTCTTTCCCTAAGCCGGGGACAAGAGTCAGGGGACAGGCTGGAGAGGGTCCAAGTGGCCAGAATTGGGCATCTGTCACTCCCTCCCTCCCACTAAGGCAGCCTTCTCCCCACCCTCTTATGTTGGGAATTCCCAGGAAAGCCCCTCAGAGCTTGGAAGTCACAGACCACCCCGGGCCCATCAGATGTTTCCAGGCACGCCTGCCAGCCCGCGGGTAAAGCTTCAGCCTAAGCTGCTGGACGTAGGAGTGAACCCAAAGGGAAGCATCCATCCCCCTGCTCCCACCGCACCCTTGTTACCCACCCTCCCCAGAGAACCGGCCCCGCGTACTTGAGGTGGGCTGCCTCTGTCACCAGGGAGACCACATCTTCAAGGTGGCCAGCAGCCCACTCCACCGGGTTCTCTATACCTCAGGCTCTCCCCTGAGACCACCCAACCCAGGGTGGGGGTAGAGAGCTGGAGCCGCTGTGTCTGCCATCGCTGGGTGGTGTGGAGAGAGGTGGCCTCAGATGGCCATGACGGCTGGGGTCCGGGGAGGTGAGGTCCAGAGGGGAGCTGCTCTGTCCTCCACTCCCCCGTCCTGACTCAGTCCAGTGACAGGCTTGCTTTGCCATGTCTCCCAGCGTGGACAACTCCGAGGACCCCGTGTATGAGAGTCTGGAGGAGTTCCATGTCTTCGTCCTGGCCCACATATTAAGAAGACCCATTGTCGTGGTAGCAGATACGATGCTGAGGGACTCGGGCGGAGAAGGTAAGTCTACATGTGATAAAACATGTATTTTAAATTTTTAATTTTTGGGGGTGTAGTTAGGTTTTTTTTTTTAATGGAGGCACTGGGGATTGAACCCAGGACCTCGTGCGTGCTAAGCATGTGCTGTACCGCTGAGCTGTACCGACCCCTCTGCAAAACAGATGAGCTTTCTTCCTCAGCCAGAAAGCATACATCCCAGTTAAGGAAGACACAACCAAACATCACGGCTGGGCTTGGACACAGAGCCTTACTCTGCCTGGACAAAGATCCTGTTATTTCTCCGCGTGTGTTTTTTTTCCTCCTAGAGGAAGGAGGGATTGCTTTCGGCCAAGCATCCACCCTGGGTGTCAATGGTGGGCAGCCAGCAGAAATCTGGCTAAGTCAGGGTGGGAACCAACCCCGAGGGGCTCCCGGTGTCCACACCCTCCAGCAGTGCGGGCCTTGTCCCAGGTCCCCTCCTGCCTCTCTGCACGTGCATTACAGAGGAGAAAGGGAAGGAGAGACCACAGAGTCCCTTGCCAGGCTGTGGTGGAGTCAGGACGGGGGGAGGAGGAGGTGAGGATGCAGGCCATCCCTCCGGGGTGGACATTGTCCCTTGATTTACCGACAAGGAGCCCAAAGCCCAGGGAGGCCACACGATGTGCCTCCACCCTCAGCTGAGGCCTCGGAGGGACTGGGGTCAGCCCAGGCAGGGAGGGCTCCAGGCATATCCTCCCTCCTGCCTTGCTGGAGCCCACTGGGAGGCCACACTCTCTGAACAGGAGGAACAGGGGAGGGTCTGGGATGCTAGATGGACCTGGAAGGTCACCCCTTCCCCGCCCTCTCGTGGCCGTGGTTATCACAGTGGGCAGGGGGCTGGGAATACATTGGTCACTCCCAGGGCCGCCTCTAGGGACACGGGAGCAGAGACAGGCCTCCCATAGGGATCCCTGTGCCCGTGCCCCCTCCTCCTCCCCGTGCCCTCACCCTTGTTTGTGTCTGCAGCGTTTGCTCCGATCCCATTTGGAGGGATTTACCTGCCCTTGGAGGTGCCTCCCAACAGATGCCACTGCTCACCTCTGGTTCTTGCCTATGACCAAGCGCATTTCTCTGCCCTGGTGTCCATGGAGCAGAGAGATCAGCAGAGAGAACAAGGTACGCCCGCCACCACCTGATGGTGCCCGGGGTGGGGGACAGAGAAGGGAGGGATGGTCCTGGTGGGGCAGGAGGCAGTCCACCCTTAGACAGCTCTTTTGGGGGTGCCCTTTCACATGGGTGCATATTTTATGTGTATGTAATTAATCTTCGGTGGAATTTTTAAAAGTTCCCCTAATGCAGAGTCGACAAACTGCAGCCCACCACCTGTTTATAATAGTTTTATTAGAACCCAGCCAAACTCGTTCAAAGGCGTCTTGTCTGTGGCCACTGCTTTTGTGCCCCAGCTGCAGAGTTGAGACGCAGCCACAGAGATTGTGTGACCTGCAAAGACTAGAATATCTACTAACTAGTGCTTTGTGGGAAATGTTTCCCAGCCTCTGCTCTAGAGTAGGCTTTTGGATCAAAAGATGGAAATTTGCATTCAAACCATTACATGGGAGTTTCCTGCCAGAAGCCATTTCAGGGCTGCAGAAAGTCTCACCGGGCTAGCCCCACAGGCTGCGCATTGCACACTTCCAGCCACCAGTAAGATGGACCCGTGTGGAGCTTGTCTTCAGTCCATGCGTTATGTGTCTGCTGTAGAAATGGTGGGGGTTTTATTTGGAATGTTAACTGCTGATGGATGTGTGACCAGCTCTGCAAAGAAGGGGAAACCCCTCCTTCTGTCACTTCTGTCTCTGGTTACACGGAGATTTCCCAGGAGACTAAGGAAGGAAAGACAGATGGATTTCAGGGTCGCCAGCATCACTGACTGTGGTCCCAGGAAATACATGGTGGCTCATCACATGGTGATGTGGGTCCGGAAGGAAGGGGAGCAGGGCGGCAGCTGACTGTAACAGACCATCGCATTACTCTCCTGTACTATTTCCAAACATCTTGCCTTGGCCACAGGGAAACATATTTCATCATGAAGCTTTTTGGCCAGTGAGTGCTGGCCCCTCCCTCATGGCTTCTGGCTCTCCTCGAAGCTCCCTGCAGCTCTTGGGAGGCAAGAGGGCCCTTTCTCAGGACCTGGGATCCAGGCCAGGGGCAGGACTTCTGGTCCAATCTCCCAGAGACTCTCTGTGGTCAGGGGAAGATCAAGGTCCCACGTTGACCTGTCCACTTCTCATGACCGCTGCGGGGCAGGTGCTCCAGGGCCCCCTTCTGCACAAGCAGAAGCAAAGCACATATAAGCAGCTCCTGCTGGCTGGGTAACTTCTGCACAGCGTGTCAGGGCCTCACACGTTTTTGGAGAGAACACAAATGCTCTGCAGAATTTGAGGCTTTAAGCATTACTACCCTCCTTCACGGAGCTGATGGGTGCTAAAGTCCAGTAGTCCTGCACTATTTGTTTGGTGGGGGGCCAAGGGTCCATTCAGTGAATGCATCCAGATTTCAGGGACCCAAAGACAACAGTGCCTCTGCCTTGGGATCCTCACTACCTTGTAGGGGAGACAGTCCAGCCCACCACGCTACATCCTACCAGGCAGGATATGCCCGGAGCAGCCACAAGCTCCATTCAGCTGGGGAGCGATTATTCTAACAGAGGAGAACAGACAGATGGGCAGACAGAAGAGAGAGGTGGGCTAGAACAAGTCTTGGAGGCAGCTTGTGATGACAAGAGTCCAGTACCAGGGGACAGAACAGGCCTGAGCCAAGGTGCTGGGCTGTTGAAGGGGTGTTGCTAGTGGGTTGCTGGCACGTTGCTGGCATGGAAGTGAGCAGATGTTGTAGGAGGGTGGTGGTGCTGTTCACTGCGTGGCCTAGGGGGTGCCACGTGACCTTCCAGCCTGTCTCTTTGTCTGTCACCAGTACCGCAGCACCCACATCCCTGGGGGTGAACCCTTTTCTCCTTCCCTTCTCCACTCTCCTTCCCTTCACCCTTCCCCAGTCCTCTGCCATTTCTTCTTTCCCTTTCTCTTCCTTTCCACCCACTATCCATATTTGGTCTCTTTTCATTGGACATGTTTAAGGACATCACCACTCAATTATGGACATCACAGGACAGTCCCTCCAGACACTGAAATCCTCAGTCACCTCTGGAAATCCTGCCTATCCTGAAGCCAAACCTTTACCCTGATCCTTAAACGTTGCTTCAGAGATAAACCTCGAAGCCTTGATTAGCTAGCTCCCTTCCTGGCCACAGTTAGTGCCCAACATCTCCCCCAAAAGGACCTGCCATAGGTGGGAAGAACAGTACAGATGCTGTCTGGGAAGTCGTCTCCAGAGGGAGCCTACCCCAGGGTTCCTCCAGGGCATCATCCTTCTGTCCCACACTACAGCAGAGGCTATAGGAGGCTTCCTGAAAATACTAGATCCCAGCAGTTCAGCTTTTGTCATCCCAGTGGTTGTGGATGGTAAGGAGAAGCTAAGAAGGTGTCAGGAACTTGCCCAGGGAATAGACTCAGCCTCTCTTCTCAGCCTTTATGATGCCAAGGAAATGGTAGCAACCACAGAGAGCCATGATATAAGCCTCCAAAAGAAGATGGTTCAGAATAGTATTGGGCTGCAAGGGGCTCAAAGGAGGGGACTGCTGTTATTGCTTCTCTAACAGTGAGTCCTGAGGTCAGTGGTTCAGGGCTGATGCAGCAGCTTTACACATTCTCAGGGAATCAGGCTCACAGCCTCTCCCTGCTCCACCCTCCTTATGCAGCCTCATGGTCATAGAATAGGTGCTGCAGCTCCAGGCATCACATCCACATTCCAGGTATCACATCCACATTCCAGAGTGGGCCAATTGCTTCTCTTCTTGAAAGTGTCTTTTCATTTGAGAAGAACAGCTTCCCCAGGAATTCGTGCTGACATCTTACTCCCCAAGGCTGAGCTCCCCACTTGCAGTTTCCTGACTGCAGAGCAGCCTGAGAAGTGAATGCGTTGGCTGAAGGAGGGGGTGAGGTGCTTGGTGGCAGTTCAGGGAGCCAGCTCTTAATCAGGGGATGTGATGTTTCCAGACAGTTTCATATGGACTTTCCTCTTTCTTTTGCCATCAATGACCACTCATTCAGGGAAGGACAAAATGCAAAAAAGAGTTCTTTACCAACTTGGTTCTTTGGAAATAAAACACATTGGCGGTCAGGCTGTCAACCCCTTAAAAAGCAGTGGTGTGTGAGGCTGTCAGTGCCATGCTTCTGAGAGGAAAACTCATTCTTCTTTAAAGGCAGACAGATAATCAGTGTTCCCCTCCCCGCCAACCCCAGCACCATGCAGCCGCCTGCAGATCTCAGGTTCAGGGTTGCCTGCATGAGGGGCAGTGCATGCACAGTGGTGGCACCCTAGGAGGAGGATTTTGGGGGGAGGGTCCTGGCTGAGAGCCAGGAGGGGTGCACCCTGGGCCTTTGCTTAAATGGAAAGTTTTTTATAGACACTGACGTTACCACCTCCTTAGCACTCTTGCCATCGCGGACCAAAGACCAGAAGCTGAGTGGGAGGAAAGTTGGTGGGGAAACCATCCTCCTCCAGAAAAGAGTCTCTTCAAGAAGTGGTGCTGGGAAAACTGGACAGCTACCTGTAAAAGAATGAAATTAGAGCATTCTCTAACACCATACACAAAAATAAACTCAAAATAGGTTAAAGACCTACATGTAAGACTAGATACTGTAGAACTCCTACAGGAAAATATAGGCAGAACACTTCTTGACATAAATCACAGCAATGTTTTTTTCTAACCACCTCCTAGAGTAATGGAAATAAAAGCAAAAATAACAAACGGGACCTAATTAAACGTAAAAGCTTTTGCACAGCTAAGGATAGCATCAACAAAATGAAAAGACAGCCCACAGAATGGGAGAAAATATTTACAAATGATGCGACCGACAAGGGACTAATTTCTAAAATATACAAATAGCTCATACAGCTTAATAGCAAAACAAACAAGCAACCCAATCAAAAACTGGGCAGAAGACCTAAATAGACATTTCTCCACAGAAGACATCCAGATGGCTAGATGGCACATGAAAAAAATGCTCAATATTGCTAAGTATTAGAGAAACGCAAATCAAAACTACTATCACATCAGTCAGAGTGGCCATCATTAAAAAATCCACAAATAATAAATACTGGAGAGAGTGTGGAGAAAAGGGAACCTTCCTACACTGTTGGTGGAAATATAATTTGGTGCAGCTATGATGGAGGACAATAAGGAGTTTCCTTAAAAAACTGGAAATAAACTTACCATATGATCCAGCAGTCCCATTCCTGGGCATGTATCTGGAAGGAACTCTAATTCGAAAAGACACATTCACTCCAATGTGAACTTATAGCAGCACTATTTACAATAGCCAAGAGATGGAAACAACCTAAATGTCCATCAACAGATGACTGAATAGAGAAGATGTTGTATATATACAATGCAATACTACTCAGCTATAAAAAAAAGAATAAAATAATGCCATTTGCAGCAACATGGATGGACCTGGACATCGTCATTCTAAGTGAAGTAAGCCAGAAAGAGAAAGAAAAATACCATGTGATATCAATCATATATGGAATCTTAAAAAAAAAAAAGAAAGAAAGGAAAATGAGGACACTAATGAACTCATATGCAAAACAGAAACAGATTTGCAGACATAGTAAACAAACTAATTGTTAGCAGTGGGGCAAGGGATGGGAAGGGATAAATTGAGAGCTTGAGATTTGCAGAGACTAACTATATAAAATAGATGAACAATAAGCTTATAGTATATAGCATAGGGAACTATATTCAACATCTTATGGTAACCTATAATGAAAGAGTATGAAAAGGAATATATGTATGTATATGTATGACTGAACTCTTCTGATGTACACCAGAAATTGAGACAACATTGTAAATTGATTGTACTTCCATTTAAAACATGGAGGGGAAAAGTAAAACAATAAAAGTTAAATTATAGACTTTGTAGTTACTTTACATATAAAAATAAAATATACAAAGAACTCTCAAAACCCAATAACATAAATCCCCAACAATCCAAATAAAAAATGGGAAAAGACACAAACAACCATTTCACCAAAGAAGAGATACAGATGGCCAGTCA